AGCAGGAAACTTGTAATAGATCTTGTAGTAACAATCAAAGAAACAGGCCTGCAGGAGTGTTTATATTTGCTGATTCAGAGTTTAATTCAAAACAAAGGAAAAAGCGCTTTTTAGAAGTGCTTTTCAGTCGTTTACTTTGTGACTGGTGTTTCTGTCAAACAGGTGTCCTCCCTTGTTACTATATGTGTAGTCCTTAAAGGTTAAATTAAGGAACTTGATATTTAACCATGGCTGTTTTTCACCAGATACGCAGCTTCTATTGATGACATACTGGAAGAAGAGGAACATTATGCAGATCAGCTGAAAGAGTATCTCTTCTATGCAGAAGCGCTAAGGTATGTACAGAAGTGTATAGCTCAAATGGAAGCTCTAGACCTTTCCTCTAACATTGTGTGGATGTTGAATTTAGGTTGGTATCCTTTTCTGCCCTCTAAGAAGTAGAAATTTCAAGTTGTGGAATCTCCATGTTCTTACCTCTTATTTTGCTTAATCATATTTGATTGCCATGTGGGTGGCAATAAAAATTAGAACTAAGCTGATCAATAGTGAAATGACAGAAATGTTAAAATCTGTATATTGTGGAAGGTAATGCTTTTTATTCCTCTGGTTACATTGTTTCCTTGGCTTCTGGTATAATAATGCCCCAATGTGCTGAAAGCTTCAGCTTTCAAATGAGATAGGCCAAACAGGCTGCTACAGCCATTACAAATTGCAGCAAGTTTCAAAGTCCCCTTATATAACTTTCATCTGCTGTGCAGTATTGTGCAGCTAAATACTGAGGGTTTGTGTTTGGGGTTTTTTTGTTTGTTTTTGTTTTGTTGGGGTTTTTTTTTACATTAACCGTTATAGGGCAGTCCTCCCTTACAAGTGTGGATACAAAAGCAAATTGCTTTATGCTGTAAGATTGCACGTAAAGCTATTGTGCTCTCCACAGGCTGGCTCCGGACCTCTCGGAGAGGTCCAGTAGTCCTGTAGAGAATCGGGTTGGCGCGTGTGAAGGCTGCTGTGTGGGAACCCAGAGCACAAGTAGCTTCTCCTGGGAGACGAACATGCATCCGGCCTTGGAGTACGGATGTAGCATCGTCAGCCCACACAGGACTGGGACTTACTGCAGGTGGTCAGAGGAAACTCTCCTCTTTTCCAGATGAAAGGTGCTATATGAATCCAGGAGCACAGTTTCTTGTTTCATTGTTTAAAATGTAAATAATTTTATGATTGACTGATGCATTGCTGCTGTGACAGGTACCATCTCCAGGTACTTCTTGTCATAGTTGTGATTTTTCTGTAATATATTTTAAATAAAACTATTTTACAGTGGTGTCCTTAAGTAGGTGGTAGGGCTCGTATTGCTGAGAGTGTCTTGGAATGAGTATAAAAAGAGGAGCAGAAGAGCAGAATGCTGCTGTACTAAGAACTTTCTTTATACTTCGATCCAAGCTTGCTTAACTACAGCATTTGCAGAGTTATGCATTCTGTGATAAGGCTGTTGAAGTTGAGCTAGATAAATAACTGAATGTGCTGCCTGCCAAAAAAAAGCATGATGCCATTTGTAAAGTTTAAATGCAGGGAAACGTAACAAAACAATTATGTGACGGATCTTTCATTGCTTACTTTTCAGGGCAGTTTGCAGGAAACACGAACTAATGCAATATGACTTGGAAATGGCTGCACAGGACCTAACATCTAAGAAACAGCAGTGTGAGGAGCTGGCAACAGGAGTGAGTCTTTCCACTTTCTTCTCCAAAATGCCTTTTTTTTTCCTTTTTTTTTTTTTTTTTCATTTGAGCCAAGTTACTTAGAATGACATTTAAATGGCACTAACATGCTGGCTGCTGCTTATGAGAAGCAGTATCATATGAACTGTAGGCATCTGAGGTTTAAAGTAGCTTGGTTCTTGGTGACATAAGCTGTTTGTACCAAACTTCTTTTATTGAATACTGAGCAAGTAAAGGGCTGCAGGAAATATGACCTGAGCAGAATAACACAAACAACTCTATCCTAAAGATCAAAATTCTGAAAGGCTTCCTCTGCCTTTTGAAAGGTGTTTATTACTGATATGTGGCTAGTCCCTTTTATATGGAAGATAATGTTACTTAAAACATTATCTTAAAGTGGTAACTTTAAAAAAGTGTTTAGAATTCTTAATATTGCTGTTGGATCTATTGATGCTCTATGTGCAACTACTTTATGGCTTTTCTTTCTCATACAAGACTTAAGTTCTTTCCTACTTCAGTAAGAAAATTGCTCTGAAAGGTTACCCATGTCAGTGCAATGACTCACGTATGGTCCAATCCACAGACCAACCTGAATGTGAAATTGAATGTGAAATTACTTCTTCCTCACTTTGCTCAGTCTAATGTGAGCCACCATACCTTCTTTAGCTACTTATCAATGGGACATTCATGAAAGGGAAGTTAAAGCCAAAAATGAGCTGAATATCAAGAATAAGCCCAGATGCTGGTAAAAATCACATGACTTGTGGCTGTGCTCAAGAATCCCAAACCTAGAGTGTCTTTGTTTTTTGTAGACTGTGAGAACATTCTCCCTGAAAGGGATGACCAGCAAGCTCTTTGGGCAGGAAACCCCCGAGCAGAGGGAAGCCAAGATAAAGGTTCTAGAAGAGCAGATACAGGAAGGAGAAGAACAACTTAAGTCTAAAAATCTGGAGGGCAGGTAAATAGGCTTGACTTTTTCAAAGAAAACACAGGGCTTGTCTTAGCAAAAGTCCTTGACTGGATGCTCTTGAAGGTGTTTGCGTTTTATAAGTGTTTTTAATATATTCTTGGTGTTTATGAGCTGTCTATAAAAGCTCCTGTCAGCTGCAAGTTGTGAAATAAAGTACAGTACATGCAGTTAGCTTCTGGTCTGAGTGTACGGCTTATGTAAAACTTGATGACTTTCCCAGTTACTGAGTCCACTCTAATGGCTAACTTGCATGCTTTTATGTTCAGCTAGTAATATGTTTAGCAGGTGGGCTTGTAGGTCTGCAGCTGAATAGCCTAAGACTCCAAAGCTGATTTGCTTTAAATATAGTATTTAGTTTGGTTTGCGTGTATGGGTCCTGAGCTCATATTCTGCAACTTCTCATATGGGGGACAACTGACTCCTGTTTGAAAGAGATTAGAAGTTCTGGTGAGTTGTGTTTGAGTAACTGCTTCTTGGTGCTCTAATGAAATTTTCTTCAGGAATGCAAACATGAAAAATAGGAACTAACATTCCTAAAGCAATGTGATTGTGTCAGAACACGTTCATCGTATAACACAAGGGGTAAACGTGGTATCTCCTAATATGTTAGGATTAAAGTTGGAAAGATTAAGACTAGTTCATGAATAGGTCAAAACAACAAGACGCTCAGTAAATGCAATTTCGTAATCATTTTGACAGAAGTACTGGAGATCTGCTTTTGTAGCTCTGGAAGCAATTTTCAAGTGAATACTTGCCTTGTATGTATAGTCCAGCACAAATGAAAGCTATGAATTACAGAAATCTACCTCCATTTTAGTGAAGGAGACCTGAAGACACATCACCAAACCAACAAAATTAATTCCTGAAGTGAATTTGTCCAAGTCAAATTTGCGTTGTAAATGCAAAATCCTGATGACAAGTGAGTTTTCACGTTGGAAAGACCAAGATTCTGACTTGACAATTGACAAAGAAATGTGCAGTGTTGTGTGCTGAATGTTAGCATAAAGATACTTAGTTACCCCAACAGGATCCAAGGAGGAAAAGTATATTCTGAATTATGCTGCTTCTATGGCAGTGATGGGGGAGGGGGGAAAAACCAAAACCAACCAAACAACCCAACACATCCTGTAAAACCGATTCTCTAGATTAAAAACCTTAAGAAGAAGATGGAGAATTAGGTAGTAGTGCCAATTATAAAATGAGGACACTGTGGGATGCATAATAACTACAGAACTTGGTTTACTGACTGAAAGATGGAGCACTTCGTCATACATAGCTTCTCTGCTGAGGGTTCAGAGGAAGGAAGATCAGCTGAGGATGCAACATGTAAAGCACTTACTAACAGAAATATTGCTTTTAATTCCAGAGACTTTGTGAAAAGTGCCTGGGCTGACATTGAACGGTTTAAAGAACAAAAGAATCATGATTTGAAGGAGGCGCTTATAAGCTATGCTGTTATGCAGATTAGCATGTGCAAAAAGGTACGTTTCTGAAAGACCAGGCTAGTGTATATATTGTATCAGCAGGGGATCAGATGCAAACTTCGAATAACTAGGAACATTGCAGTCACAGAAGGTTGGAAGTCACTAGCGTAAAACCTCCCACGTATTCTGTCCTACTCTAACTCAGTCACATGTTAATGTTGATACGTAATAGGCAGTGTGGTCCAATTCCAGTGTGGTCTCTGCCTTACTCTTGTGTGAAGTTCTGTGGGACTTTTTTGTAGAGTCTTCTGTGGAAGGAAGTCGATTGATGAGGTTTGCAAACAAAGTATCTTTCTACCTATTGTTTTTAAACTTTTTTTAAAGGGAATTCAAGTTTGGACAAATGCAAAGGAATGCTTCAGCAAGATGTGATTATCTGGAAATGAATTCCTCCTCCAAGTGCCAGAGAACGGAAGCACAAATGTGTAACACCAATGTTAAGTTGCTACATGACTTACATATAAATCATGAAATAAATGACTTGAGTGAATAGTTTTTCTTTCTGCTGATTGTAATTGTTAATAAAGGACAAAAAGGACATGTTATTAAATGTTTAGCCCTGACTGCCACTTCTGTGGCATGTTTTATATGTGGTAGCAAATAATTCAGGGGTAAAAGAGTTACTGAAAACTACAGCTCTGTATTGGGGCAAAGGTATAGGGAAAGTTATCCCAGAAAGTATGAACTGAACTGTTCTGAGACTTGTGAAACACCATGCTCTGTAATGTGTAGATCACTTCCAGATGCCCTTCTTTTCAGCCATTGCTGCTTAGAATTTGTAATGCTCAAGGGTGCTTTGGTTTTATAATGGGACACACAGTTGTGTTCTTGAGGTCTACACCATAAGAGGACAAAAAATGAAATATTGTAACACCTAGGGTTCATATTTAAATGCCTTTGCATGTCCATAGAGAAATGTGCTTTTCCAGAGTTCAGGTTAAGCAGTCTCAAGCTCCTGAGATGTTTGAAACTCTCTACAGTAGAGGTGGTGTACAATGGTTTGATACAATATTCTGCATTTACTGGTTCCCACTTAAGTTTTGATATGGGCATTGATTTCTTATCAAACTTCTTCCTGCAAGTAAAGGAGACTGGTGATCCAGCTGAGCAGCAAAACCAAAGTCCAAGCTGGTAGGAAGCAGATGCAACTTCTGTTTGGTTGTTTGGAACCTGTTCACACTAGGTGTGAATCTGGCCTGTGGTACCTCTTCTTGTAACTGAAGTGGTTTGGTTCCTAAAAGAATAATTCTTAATGAAGATGCTGAAATAAAAAACCTGGTGCAACTTCTGTAGTACTTAAGAGCAGTGATGTGCAGAATCCACAATGAACCAAGGTGTCTGTTTGGCTTTTGTAATGATGTTCCAGTGTGTGTGTGTGTGTGTATGTGTGTGTGTATATACATACACCAGTATAATATGATTTGCAGTTACAGGTACTTGCATTAAATGTTTCCAATTATGAAAAACACTTACCACTGTCGAATATTGGCCTTTTTCTACACTTAAAGTTCCTGAAGTCTTGTGGAATTTGTCAGACTTGATTGCTAGTCCTAAAGGAAGCTTTGTAGTATTCTGTTGAAAAGTGTACTTAATTATTCTGGATTATAACACTACTCAGATTTTGATTTTTTTTTTTTTTTTAAGAGATACTCCAGGAAGTCCTTAAAAGTTCTTTTGATAAATTATCAATAACATAGTTACTGATATGTCCCATGTTACTTTTGTCTCTGCAGCATTTCTTTTCTATAAAACCATTGTAAAGAATTTGTAGGCCTGGTGTACACTACAGCTTAAAACTCTGAAGTAAAATGCTGGTCACCCTGATAACCTATGTTGGCTTTTTCAAAGCGTATGACAGTGACACTCCTGGCTGAGAGATGATGTTGGGCAGAAGGAGGTCTCTCCAAATAACATGTACAAGGAGAAATGTTGTTCCGTTCAGAGGTTGCGGTATCCAGTTCCGATACAGGCTGAAGGACTCTTACATTCCAAACCAAGAAGTTGCACACTTGATGTATTCAGTAAACCTTCTAAAGGAGTGGTGCCTTAATACAATACCGTGAGGCGCTCAGAGTAGGTATTTTTCATGCACTTTGATTTTTTGGTAGATCTTTCTGGTGCCTCTTTCCACATTCACTTGCTGTATAGCTTATTAAATGTATTAGTATGCCTTTTTTCCTTGCTAGTTGTACTAAATTTAAGAAGGGAACAAAACAGTTCTTGTAAGTTTTGTGCCAAATAAGCTAAATAAAATTGCTCTTTGATATTTTTGTTACGTTGTTTTTTGTAAAAATTCTGTCTTCCCGATTCTCATAACTGCTGTTCAATTTCTTGAGATCGGTTCTTGTCCGTCTTAGGTCTCAAATGGCCTAATTCTCATAACTGCTGTTCAATTTCTTGTCCGTCTTAGGTCTCAAATGGCCTCCAAACTTGGGTTTAAAATTTCGGAAGTAAATTGCCCACAACTAGCTCATTTGCCTTTTAGGTGAAGAACATGGTGTTAAGGCCAAACTTAGATGCTTGTTACAAGCTAGCTTTGATCTCTGCTTTGGTTTTGCCCAAACAGAACTAGCTGTCTGAATTTCCTGCATGTCTTCATCTAAGTAAGAGAAGATGCATTTGAAAAGGGTTTGTGTTGCTTGACAGAAATTGGATGAAAGGTGGGTTTAAGGATAATTTGCAGTAACTTTATTTCTTTTACCTCTGCTATTTGCAGAAAAGCATTGTATGCGGTCTGTGTACTTGTGGATCTTAGCAAACATTGAAGGTTTCTCCCCCTCTGTTAGCTTTTTAAGTTTTTAAGGGGAAATAATATAGTTAATGGCTGTTTCCATGTGGTTAATAGAGTCCACGTGACAAATGCACACTTGTGAAGCGTGCATTTTTCCAGCTACAGTGCAGATTTAACTTCTGTAACTTAATCCAGCTTGCCTCAGTGAGCTTCCTTCAATTATCCAGTAAACATCAAAAATTGGTGGAAGGCCTTGAGAATAATAGCAGGTAGGTAGACCATTTTAACTTAATCTCCACAAAATGCTTCTATATAAAAGAGTTTACCTGCATGGATCATCTGATTTGCTGATGGAGCTGTCACTTCTGTCCCAGGCAGCTTTGCTGGGTGGATTATCACTGTTCATGCTGGCCCTGACCTTCCCCATTACTAGCAGGACCTTGACTTGTCAATACATTTTAGTTGCTACTATTGTCTGCTGCTGAAATGTGGCTCGGGTAAGGGAGCCAGCTGAAATGGAAAGATAAAGTATTTTTATGAACTCTTTTTTTTTTTTTTTTAATGCTGTATTATTTCAAAATGTTGTATTATTTCAGTATCTGGCATGTCAGCCAAAGCAGAGTTAACCTAGGAGCTGTGTGCAGGGACTGCCTTGGCAAGCGCAGAGCAGATCTTGGAGCTCGGGCCCCCGCGGAGGAGCTTGCCTCGTGCAGGTGAGCCAGAGGAAAGTGGCAGCTGTAGCCAAACACGGGCAGAGCCAGCGGAGCAAGGCTGAGGTCCCAGAGCGGGGCTGTGAGCGCTGCATCCTAGGAGAGACATTATTTTCGTGTATGACATTCCCTACCACTGAAATTCTTTTGTGCATTTTGGTTGAAGAAACAAGAAATGCTTTCTAATGCCCCTCTAAAGGATTACAGGGAAGGAAGTTGTCTTAATTCCCCACACCCCTACACTTGCCGTGCAATGGCAAGGCAGGGCTCTAATGCGTGTTTCCTTATGTCCGCCTGTTCCGTGCATCCCTGGTGTCTGTGTCATATTTACTGCTAGAGCTCTGTGGGGAGGCGTGGTCTGTGTAATGAAAAACCTCGGACAGGGACAGGGCTGCTGTAGAAATAATGCAAACAAAGGAAGCAAGCGGAGTGAAAGCTAGTAAAATAGGAGCGTGGGCTTCAGTGCCAAATCCAAGTACAGCAGACGTGTATGTCACCAGCAAAAGCAGTCACCTTTGTAAGCAGTCGCTTTGCTGCTGCTGCTGCAGAGTTAACGTCTGCTCTGAGCCCTGAGCCTGAGCGCTCCTGCCTGGCAGGTTCCCTCCCGCTTCCCCAGCAGAGCTGGGGTTTCTCGGGGCAGGGGAATCTTCCAAAGGATGGGCACTCTTGATCCAGCTCCTGCAGAGACCTTGGCACTGCAGGAGAGTAACTTGTGGGAGCTGCTTCCCTCTAGTGGGTGGCCACCGGGGAGGGTGGGATGCTCACTGTGGCCGTGGTAGCCAGAGAAACGTCTCTCTTTCCATGGCAGAGGCTTCAGCGTCCCCCCAGCTGCAACTGGGAGGTTTTACATACATCCCCTCTGCGGTGCGGCTGGGGTGAGTACCTCCTCCTGCCTTGGGCAGTCTGGAGAGCCTCGAGAGCCTGCGTGAGCAAAGGGTTGTGACTCTTTGCTGCCGTTTCCTGATGCTTCTTGGTGTGATACAGTGCTATCAAAAGGATTGTGCAATAGTGACTTTTGTAGGGTCAAATGCAGAGGAGAAACCTTTTTTTGCTGCCTTTTAGTTGCTTTTGAATGGCTTACATAGACTGGCCTTCCCAATGCTGTACTTTCTTTCAAAAAGAGAAAAAATCTTTTTGTCTTGACTGGTTGTGGAAGGTATCTAAACCACGAAACAAAGCCAAATTGGAAAGGATCTTAGGTGGATTTGGAGGAAACTAACTCCAGACAGTGAAAGTGCAGAGTATTTGGAGGTCAGGGGGATGGTGCCATGCTGGGAGAGGCAAGGGGGGGTTAAGCTGCATGGACGTGAGGGAGGATAGGGTTTTGAGGAGAGATGCAGAAGAGGGTGAGGAGGTAAGGAGGAGAGAAGAGAAGGTGACCAGGCAGGAGGGAGAGCAGACGTGGGATGGGTGGAGGAACTGAAGAGGGGAGCAGATGGAAAGCTGCCGTACCTGTGGGCTGTGCTGCGCAGGAGAAGGGGAAAGCAGCAGAGCATAGCCCTTGTTTTGGAGGGGTAAAAAAAAAAGCGAGGGAGGTGGAAACAGGAGATAAGGAAATTTTGAGAGGTGTCAAAGACACGACTATATAATACCCATGATAGTATAATGATAGTATCTAGATCTGAATTAAACTTGTGGTGGTGACTAAGGTCTTAAAGCTGAGTTCAACACTGATAATGGTGTAACATTTCTCTTGAGCTCAGAAGGAGACATTTAATTTTGTCTAATATTTTGTATCTATTTTTAATATGATCGCTTTGAAATTTCTGAATAATTAAAATAAGAGAAGACGCTTTAGTCTTCAAAAACCCAGCATAAACTTTGTGGACACCCTGATCTTACAAACACAGCATGATCAGCCATGTGATCTGGGGGCCTGCTGGCTGATGCAGCTCTAAAACAGGCTGTCCCACATACCACAAACATCCCAGGGACTACAATTAATAAATAGCTTCTTCATCCGCAGTAAACATTTTCTGTTACCTGTATATATCGTGGCATATGATAACGCCTATTACTTTCTCTTCAGAAAGTAGCTGTAAGTGGCCACGGAAGATGAAAAGCGACTTTGTGGTGAGCCTCCCCAGGATGCTAAGGTGGAAAAAGATGCAGTCGAAGGGAAAACGCAACCCCGACCGCCCTCTTGTGGGTCTCCAGCTCGGGCTCGCAGGGGTCGGAATAAAACTCGGCGGCAGGAGGGAGGCAGATGCCACCTTACGCCCCTCCTGCTGCTCAGAGGTGCGAGGGCCGGGCAATAGCCGCAGCAGAATGAGTGCCTAAGTACAAAGGGATGGTTATACTGGAACAGATACCCATGCAGGGTTTAGCGATGAATTCATGTGTTGCTGTAGGTTGCTATTAATAATACCGTGTATTACACTGTGATTTGCAGCTTGTGTGCAGGTTCCTCAGGTGCCTTTCACACCAGGCAAATGCTGCTGTGAGTTGGACTTAAAACACAGGTTTCTGAGCTAGCAGTATTATTTTTTTTTTTTTTAATAACTGCTTGGAAGTGGTGCTGGCTGCGTGGTCAGAAGGAA